ACACATACACAAATACATACGTTGGGATGGATAGGCGTTGAAAAAAATATTAAATAAAATTAAAATTACACGGATATAAATAAGTATAAACGAAAAGGAAAAAAATAAATATTAACTTTTCGTTCCCGTTATTAGAACATTTTTGAATATTCAAAAAGTAAGGTTTCAAAACAAGGAACCGTGCAATCTCGATCGAAGTAACTGTTATAAAAAAAGAAAATCTAAGTTTAATTTTAATTTTGAATTTAATTCGCGTAGCTAAATTTGAATAATTAACGATTAAATCAAATACTACTACAGTAACACTCGTATTGAAGTGTTTAACCATTTGGAAAATCTAAATTAGACCTTTCTAAATATAATACATTTCCCGGGAAACACATATAAACAAACAAATCGTTATTTACCAGTTGTATCGTGGTACAGACAATTTTCCCATATAATTATAATCTTCGAACAAAAATATTACATTATAAAAAATCATTAAATTGAAGTTATATCTCATATGAAGTAGTTTTCTCTATTAAATTGCGATAACAATTTTTCTTTCTCCCTTTCTCTCTTTTTTTTTTTTTTTAAATCGACAAGTAACCACACGGAGAGGGACAGGGAGAGATAGAACGTGTATCCAACTCACTCATACCAGTTAGAAAGAGAGAGAGAGAGAGAGAAATCCCTCTCTGATTGCTTATTCTAGGTGATGACACGATGCGCGAGAGTAAACCGCATTGCTGGTGACGCGTTTTGCTCTTTCACGCGTGGCTCGTTCGTGGCATTTAATTACAAAAGAAGTTGCCTGGGTGAACGAGGATGTGATGATGATGGCACGAAGGGATTCGAAAGGGTAGAAAAAAGAGAGAGAGAGAGAGAGAGAAAGAAGAATTGCTTGGATGAGTCGGCTTGGCCCATTAGGAAATGAGGTATTCCGTGTTCCTAACGAAACGAGACGACAACCTACCGAAACGTTGATGTTTCCTATTTTTTTTTTTTCTTTTTTTTATTTTTTTCTCCCTTACACACTCGTTTATAATAATACTACTACTACTACTCCTCTCCCTTACTCAGTGTCCCTTTTTCTTTTTTTTTTTCGTTTTTTTTTTCTGCTTCTTCTTCTTCTTCTCTTATTTCTCGCGTAAGAATACATTTTCTTCTTTTCTGTGTGCTAAAGGATCGTCGTCGTACGCTCGCTTTACTGCAAATTACTCGGAATTCCGATACGGATGGATGATGAAGTCTGACATGAAAAATGACCGAAACATACTATTACTACTGCTACTACTACTATTACTTTCTTTCTTTATTTCTCTTGCTCCTCCTTTTTTTTCGTTTTGTTTTGTTTTGAGGAAAGGGGGCTTAACATTCGTTTTCATTTAATTTTGTGATCAGAGGTTGTTATAAAACGTATTAATAATAATGATACAAAATATTTGGCTCATCGAAATTGAATGCATTTGTGAATTGTTACGATTTTGTTATACAGTTAATTATTTATTTTTTTTTTATCGTATTAATACGATATTCATTAATTATATTAATTATTATATTAATTTCTAGAGGGATGAATAATAATAATAATAAAAAAAATCTTGGCCGTCATTGGTCAAATAATAATTGTTAAACACAAATGTATTTTTGAATCAATACGATTTTCCCTTATGTGTCCTGTCGATTAATTATTCTATTGTCAATAGGATATCGATTAAAATGTTACATTTAAGTACCTTAAAAAAAAAAGAAAAGAAAAAAAATATTCCCCAACGAGATGAAAAAATTTTTGCAAATTAATTCTGCTCCATTAAAACACATCGTTTACCGCATCCGTTATTTTCGGGCCAACGGAGCGAAGTATTTTTCGCCATCTTATTATTGGCGGGAATCTTCCTCGTTGTTATTTTTCTCTCAAGTTATACGCTATTTTTTTTTTTCTTTCTTTTTTTTTTTTTTCTATCGTCGAACTTTTAAAACGACAGTTAACGAAAAGTGAACGATCATGCGAACTACGACGAAAATCTGTGTGCCATTAACTGCTAACGTGTTTTATTTTTTTTTGTTTTTTTTTTTTTATATAAATTACGATGAACAAGAAAAACGTTAATTTTTGTCGAAGAAGAGAATGATTAATGATATAATATTATTTGAATAAAAATGAAATGAGAGATAACGCATTATTCTTAAATTACAAATTACTTGCTTATTTTACGATGAAAAATGATGAATTTTCTTGAGCCCCATAAAGAGTATTATGGTCGAACGAAAATATTATTCGCATAATATGCGATTCATGCTTTCTTTTATGTCACGTTTAGATAAAGAATTATTGTAATAATTCACTTTTTACGAATTTCTTCAGTCATTTCACCTAGATATTATTCCAGTTTGTAGGGAAGGTTTCAGATCAACAAGATAAATCACATTCGCTTTTGATCAAGAGTTTACTCGGTTGGTTAAAAGCTTTATAGAAAGGATGTTACATCATTTTTTTTTCTTCTTCCTTTCCCCGATCTCTCCCGAACCCTTCTTTTTATTCCTTTTACTATCTCCCCATTCTTATTTAATTTTACAAACACGTAAGCAAACTTTGTCCTTTGAGTTTAATGCAACAAAAAAAAAGAAAAAAAAACTTCTAACGAGGTATATCGTTTGAAATCTTTCACGAGAAAACTACTTTCAATCTTTCGATTCTTTAAAAAAAAGAAAAAAAAAACAGGACGAAAAATAAATAATAAATAAATGGAAATTATAAAAAGAAGATGTGATTAATCGTTTTTTTTTTTTTTTTTTTTTAAACACGGAGGACAAATTTTTCGCGTGCGTACGTGTGCGTGTACGTGTTAAGAGAAATTTTGATCTAAAATGAAAACTATAGTGATGAAGTATGATGTTCGAGGACGATAACAACGACGACAGAGACGATGATGACGATGATAATAATCGATCTGATTGAACGCAGTAGTTTCCAGCTGAAACGATGACAATTATTGTCCAAACGCGTTCACCGATCATTTATCATTGGCTAGCAACGTGTCGAAGGTACGAATGAAACGTCGTTAATCTCGTGGACAATGCCGGAGAGATATCGGTGCTCAATTTTTGCATCATTTTATGCTTTTTTTTCTTTTTTCTTTTTTTTTTTTACGAAAAATGCGAACAAAAGAGAGAGAGAGAGAGAGAGAGAGAAAAATAAGAAGTAGTTTTACGAAGAAACATTATTGTTCGTAATAAGTGATATGACACTTGGGGGTATACTTCATTGTGATCTAACAGAAAACAACAAAATAATTATTTAGCATAGTTCATTTATAATCATATATATATATAATAAAAATGAGAGAAAATACATAAAACTTACAAATGTATGTAACTATATATATATATATATATATAAATTATACACATATAATTAAATAGTACATTTAATAGTACATTAAATGTATATATATAAATGTAACTATATATATATATATATATATATAAAGAAAATGAATAAAAGGTACTACAGAGGGTTAAATAAAAATAGAACAACCGAACAAAGAATACCTCCTCCTTCTCCTTACCGTATTATCTTTTGGTGCTAAAATAAAATAACACTATTCATATTTTTTAAGTGTCCTCCGAGCCCTTAAAGGTTTCCTTCGTATATCTAAAAATAAGCAAATAAAACAACACCAAGAAAAAAATGAAAAAAAGGGGGAAAAAGAAAATGTGGAATAGCAGGACACAAAAGGACTCACTCCCTCACTCCCTCTCTTTCTCTTTCTTTCATTCTTCGAGGAATACAATGGGGGTATTGATTTTGGATGGAACGTGTGTTCCTCTTGGTGGTCGAAGAAGGGTTTGTCGGTTGGTTTCTCTCTCTATCTCACACACACACACATACACACATACACTCATTCAGTGGGTGGGGAGGGGGGTTAGTATTAGTAGTAGTAGGGTTCGTAGGTCGATGGTCTAAGTCGCGTTTCTTGCTCTTTTCATGGTGTACGGCATTTCTTGACGAGCCCTGGCTCGTTTGGTTATGGGGGAAAGGATATAATAGTAGAGCCAGAGTTGAAGCGTAGGGTGGAAAGAGAGAGCACCGCAATGCAGGCAAGGGCGTTGTCAGGGGCGACCCTAGCGACCGTGAGCCCTCATTCGCACCGAACACCACTAACACTCTGAAATCGCAGTCGAAGAAATAATTGTTGGAGGAGGAACGAACGAACGAACGTACGAACAAACGTACGTACGAACGAATGTACGAACGAACGGAATTGTTCCTCGTGAATGCCACATCAACTTCGATCGACTGTTGTTCATTTCGTTAACTTTCTACACACACACATACACACACGCTTTCCAATATATTATTATACTTCCGTTTGTCTATTCGAAATCTAATCTTGATTTATTGTGAGGAGGGGGGTTGTGAGGGGGACGAAGAGGATTAGGATTGTCAAAAATATTTGTTTTCAAATGAAAAACTAAAGTTACCCGTATTATGAACGAGATCATCGTTTTCGTTGTTCCTGGTAAAAAAAAAAAAAAAAAAAACAACAAAAACTTTGCGTTATATACAAATTTTGTATTTAAATTTGTCATGTTGTATTTAAATCAACGCATTATAGGCTCATCAATAATTTATATCGTTCAATAAAACTTGTCGACGGGTATATACCGATGACAACGACTACTACGACGACGACACCGACCGTAATTTAAAAATAAACATTTTATTAACACCTAGTTGAACTCCTGGCAAACCTTGCCAATTCGATCGTTCCTGACGTTCGGCCAATTGTGACGAAGTCATTATATTAGGAAAAAATATATATATGTATGTATATATGTATATATATTCTGTCGATAATTTAATAATGAAAAATATTTTTAATACGTCTCTTGTTAAACAATTCGTTACGATATTTGATGTAACGATAAAAGAAACGTATATATAAATATATATCCAATTAATATTATATTATAGAAAAAATATATTAATATGGTGATATTTATTATTGCAGATCGATTTGAAGCCCCTTCGGGAACCAACGATACCACTGCCCGCTTCTAAAGTTACGGAAAAAAGAAAAGCCGAGGAGGCCGATGCTAGCAAGGATTTGAAAAAGGTGAATATTTTAATAATTCAGTCTATCTGAATGATATTATTCTATAGAATAAATGATCATAGATATGATTTTATTAGAATCATTCTATAATTCAATCGAATTTATAATATTATTGATAAAATATTTCTAATTCTAATCGAAATAATATTTTTTTGCATTACTCATTGCGATTTTTCTTTCTCCCTCTCTCCCTCCTCTCAAAAATATAAAACTAAAAAAAAATTAGAAAAGAAACACATGGGGCAAAAAAAAAAAAAGAAAAAGAAATGAGACTAATCGAATTGGTGTAAAATCAAGTCTATGATATCATCGTGTATAATAGCGAAAGACGTTCCTCTTGCGTAATAGCCTTAATGTTCGCATACCGTGCGAGACACGATGCTTTTGTAATGGGGTAACGGGCTAGTGCCGAGCGCCAAAGCTTTCAGTATAACGTCACTCGTGCTGGGCAAACACAAATCGTAGCTGCACGACATAGCCCAGATCTCTGTATACACACACCTATACCACCACGACATTGTTGGAATACAACACGACGACCATTCCAATAGATCTCTCTAACAAAAACATACCTAATACGTTTAGCCCACATATTGGAACTGGACTATACTAAAAGTTCATCAATAACAAATATCATTCAATTGATTTCATCTTTCTCTCTTTATCTATCTATCTGTCTGTCTGTTTGAACGATGATATTGCTGGTAGATCCGAAAACTTAAACATTAGTTAGTTATATTGTACATTGTAAACTTTT